CTCATTCATTACTCTTAGGGCATCCACACATTTTCAGTACAATTTTTCCTCTCCCCGAAGCTCAATCATAGCCAAGTCCACATGCATTCTTCCGGGGTCATTCCTCCCGGCCTTTCTCAGGTCCTGCTAATTCCACATGCATATCGTCCTCTGCCCTTTCTTGCCTTTTACTTAATTGACTTTTCATGTGCAATGCTTGGTTCACCCCTTAGCCACTTCCCATCTTTTCAAACTTATACAAACCGATTACACAGTCAGCTCTTAGTCTGCCAGTTCCTGTTCATACCATGTCGCTTGCTCAAGTCCTTTCTGCGTTGGTGTCTTGCCAGACCTCCTTTTCTCGGGCCTATACAAAGTCAATTACAATCTTTTTTTGTCCTGGCCATCTTGACAGACCCCTTTTTCCCATGCCCATGCAAAATCAATTACCAATCTTATTTTCATGCGTATTCATTGGTAGATGGCACACCTTCCCCCCACTCAAAACGCGATGTCCCCATCACGCGACTGGTTCTCACTCGGAGGCACAAAACCTTTGACCCACCAACCGCAAGTCAAGGACACAAGCCCAACCGCTTCACAAAAGGAAGAGTGATCAGTTCCTCCCCAGCGGGCGACGCCTCATCCTTCTACTCGGTCCGACCTTTTCCTCTCTTACGTGGCGAGCACCAATACTAAGGTTCCTCCTTGCGTCTGTCAGGTAGGTCCAATCCAAGCCTGCCAGGGCCTCGTCTAGCCGTACGAGCGTTCCTCGCGAATCGTTCCTCCCGAGTGGTGATTTTCTAGATTCCGGCCTCTTCCTTTCAAGAGAGTTGGGACTCTCGATCAGTTCGCGAGTGCAGTTACGAAGACCTCGCAATTAGTCCCGAAATAGTTGTAATGTTCCGGCAGGGCAGTGTCAATGCCCCGTGGTGGTGGCGGACTCCACCCGGTACCTCGCCCAACCTCTCCCCTTGGACAGTGCCGCCCAACTTAGTGCGGGCAGCCGTGGTCCGACCCAAACGGCCATGCCACCCCTCTATGACGTGGCGTGTGGTTGGAGAGTAACAAAATAGACTAAATGAGAATGACTTCCCTGCTCATTTGGCTCTCTTGCCCTTTGACGTTTAGGCATTCAACAGGAGACGCAGTTGGAACTCCCCGACTAGAGCTCATTGTCTGAGGTGGTTCCGGACGTCCCGCACTGATCCAAGCGGTAGGTGCCTTAGTCCTTTAACCCTCATCCTCTTACAAGAGGAACAGGTCGCGCTGAGACTTTTTCCCTCAAGGAGATAGAGGTCTTTGGGGTCGCGGTGCATGCACCACTATCCCCCTCTTGCTAAGGTCAAATACTAGAAGAAAAAGAAGTCCATTTCAATGCTATTTCCAAATGCATTTCAAGTTGCCTAGGGTCCCCTATTTATGCAATGCAATTTTCAATTTTCAATTCAATTCCAATGCTCCATCTCATTCCCATACTCAATCTCATTCCCATGCTCAACCCAATTCCAAGGCTCAATCCAATTCCTATGCTCAATCCAATATCCCTTCCAAGGCTGAGTCCCATATCCTTTTCAAGGCTGAGTTCTTTCAGTCTCTTTTCCAAATCTCAACTGTTCCAATCTCTTTTCCAAAGCTCCGCTCTTCCAATTCCGTACATCACAAAGAATGACCTTTGTCAGGGTCCATTCCGAACAACCTGGTTAGGGTCGTTCTTTCCAATTCCAAGTCGAACAGCCTGGTTAGGGTCATTTTTATCCATTGCAATCGGACAGCCTGGTTAGGACCATCCTTATCCATTTCAATTGGATAGCTTGGTTAGGGCCATCCTTATCCATTTCAATTGGACAACTTGGTTAGGGTTATCCTTGTCCATTGCAATGTTAGCGCCCGAGGGGGTGGGCTTCGAGGACACGGATCCTATCTTGTCTCGGGGGTTAGAGGGCGGCCATCGTCTTGGGTTTTTACGCATGCTTCTTCCTTTTCTCATGTCTTTTGTCATTGTTACATCCATCCATACGTCCGACTTAGCGTCTAGTACTCAAGTTGAGGCTCGCGGCCCCAAGCAGCACTAGCGCGCCCAGCCGTTCAACCATTGCAAGGGGTGTTGCATCATTTCAATGTTTCCCTGCCACTTTTCTGACTTCTCATATGCTTCTCAATGCTCTGGGATTGCCTGGGGTAGGTTGGATTAGGCTCCTAGGGGAGAGGGTGCCTCTCTACCTATATGTCCCCTAACCTCTCACAAGAACTCGTGGAGCGATTCATTCAATCATGAATACATAACTCAAAGGAAAGACTTTCGTCATGAATGTTTCTTCCAACGTTCAAGAGTTCACATGCTGCTGCCCATAAAGTCAACCAATCCCCAATCCCTTTCTTACTACCCAAAATCTCATATTTCCCAGACAGAGCGAGTACTTATACAAAGTAGCCATGATCACCCACCCTTTACTAGCTCCCTCTATCCAAAAAGTAGTTTCATTGCAGTCCTTACAAGGAAAATAAGGAGACAGAGTTCGAATGAAAAAACAACATTACAAACTCGTCTTCGTCTAGATCCTCGCTGTTTCCCCTCTTTCTTTCCCTTAATCTACCCAGCCATCCAGAATTTTATTCTAAGTGCAAAACCCCTCATGCCTTTCCCTGAAGAAGCAACCATTCGTACGAAGTAGCGCTAACTACCCAGTCCTTAGTCACTTCGAGCTTAGAAAATGCTTTCACAAAAAGAGTTCAAATGCGAAGTCGGAAATGGCAGCTCTGACTATCCAGGGGCCAAACCCTCCCATCTCCTAGCTATTCCTCATTACGACTGCTGTGCCTCTACCGTCCAGGTGGCCTGCGTTGAGCCTCCCTCCTTCCGCGATCCTCCATTTCCTGCTCCATTTGCCTTTTTATTCCTTAAAATTGGAGGAGTGTCCGTTCTGTGAAGAAGGTTGTTGGGGATAAATCCTCTCCCCTGCCCAACTTTTCCCTTGTCTTCATAATCCACTGATATCGCAAGATAGTGCCCCATTGATCAAACCAATCGCTGAACTCAGGTCCGAACTCTTCTATCCATTTTTTCTTTTTCTCACCCGACTGCTCCCCTCTCCCTCGTTCTTTCCTTGTGTGCGTCGTTACCTCATCTTCCTCCTCGTCGCTGGTGAGGTCAGTGAACTCAACGGGCTCATTCTCTCCCGGCCGTTGTCCTTCCTCTGAGTTCCCCTCTTCCTTACTACTAAGATCACTGTCTGAAGGCAGCTCTATTGACTCCCCTTCCTTCAGTGGTGACGGTCCTCTGGTCCCTTGCTTTCTGCCCCCCCTGTTCACAACTAGGTTGTGATCGAACCCCACATACAACTTCCTTTTTCTGGAGCTTGACTCTCCGGCTTGCCTTGACGACTGTCCCTCTTCCGGCTTGTTAATTGCATTGCTGTCATTTTCATTCCCAAACTCCATTTTTTTGTTTTCTTGTTGTCTTCCTTCTTCTAGCCTGACCCTGTTCATACATAACAGTCATGGTACCCCTCATACACACGCATTCCCTTCCACTCCATTTGCGGCTTTGGAGGATTCCCTAGAACTCTTGCTTGCCCCCATATAGTTGGTAACCCCATTATCCCTTAGAACCCTCGACACATTGTCCCAACACATAGGTGCCCCATGTAGGCAGTCCCCAGCATCACCCCAGAAAAAATTATGGTACATTGTCCAGCACATAAATACCTCGTATAGACAGTCCCCAGCGTTACCCCACAAAAACTATAATACACTGTCCCGTGCTCCGAACCCCATGCATACCCAGCCCAGACAGTCTCCCCATGTTCCACAGAAATTCAACTCACACAAACGAACAACCCTTGTGGTCATGATCACTCTCATAGGGAGGCGGTCCAGAGTCATAGCCAGTTGTCTACCTTTCAAGTTGTGACTTCCCCTGTTTCCCTATCCTGAGCCTCTTGTAGCCACTGTTCCACCGGATCCCTGCTAAAAAATCTGACCAGTCTCTGTCCCGGAAATGGTCCTCTTATGCTTGTACCACCAAGATCCTCAAGTTTGAACGTATTCAGTCCCACCCGCTTAGCGATTCAGTAAGGCCCTTTGAATCTCTTTCCCTTGCCCAGACTATGTGCTTTCAAAAACCGAGTTCCTAACTAGCACCTTTTCCCCCACCTGGAGTGACTCCTTCCGAATGTTCTTGACCTGGTCCCATCTTGCCTTATCCCTCATTCGGCTATCCATCACACGATTGACTACTTCCTCAAGTGCCTCCTCATTTCTGGTGACCTGCTGACAACGTGCGACGATTAACTCTTCCGTGCTCAAGTGTGGGTCGTCATCTAGCCTGTTCCAGGTAGGGACCAAGGCTTCTATCGAAAAATCGATCTCCCTTCCATACCAGAGTTCTACTGGAATATATCCCGTTCTTCTTTCTGGAGTCATGTTCTCGGCGAAGATTGCCTGCTTGAGAAACCGTGGCCAACTTCCCAAATTATCTGCTGCCAACTTTGCAATTGTGTTCTTCAAAGTCCGGTGACCCCTTTCTACTGGTGCATTTGCCTAAGGATGGTAGGGCTCGGTGATCTTGATCGGTACGCACAATATCTTGAGCCTGTTCAACACCTCCTGGTTAACGAATTTTGTTCCGCTGTCTGCTATAAACCTGCGCACGAAGGGGTGCCTTAGGTAGAAATCTTCCACCCAGTCGGTCACTGCTTTTCCCGTCTTCTTCTTGAGAGCTACGGCTTCTACATAGCCACTGAGGTTATCTCTTGTATTTAAGATGTATCTAAACCCATCCGTTGATACGGGCATAACTGCAAGGTCGAGGTGAACCAGGTGTCCGGGTCCCAGTACCCGGGTGGGTCTAAGGGACTCGTAAACTCGTACGACGCTCCTTTCTTGACATATCAGACACGTCTGACAGTACGTTGCGACCATGTCTGCTATTCCCGGCCAGAAATAGAGGGGCACAATCTTTGCAAGTGTCCCCTTTGATGACCGGTGACCCCCAGCTAGCCCATCATGCATTGCCTGAATTACGTCCAGCTGCCTAGACCTCCCACAAACGACGTGTCTAGGCATCATCCCTTCCTCTCTCTTGAACAGGTGGTCATTTCGTAGGACATACTTTTCTACTTCCTCCCTTGCCTTGGGACTGACTTCCGTAGGTTATTTGTTCCCTACAAGCAGCAGGCCGATTTCTTTGAAGACGCCCTCGTACATCTGTATGAGGAAGAATTCCTGTTCGTTCTGATCCGTACCCCGCTCCTCCCGAGTGAGATTGACTAGGTACTGACACTCCTTCTGTGCCCAGGTCTTGGCCAATGTCATCACGGCATCTCGTCCCCCTTCCACGACCATCGTCATCAGCTCTTCTCTGACCCCTATTTCTGCTCCCCACGAGTCCTTCTCCTCTTTACGCCCGACCGCGGTGGCTGGTCCTTCCCCGAGTTCTGCAACTACTGGAGGCGCGCCTTTTTCCAAGGCCTGAATCAGCAACTGACCCGTTGTAATTGTTGGATCTGCCATCTCATTATCCACCACAAGGGTCCCTCCTTCATATTCCAGGAAGGTGTCGATTGGTTCCGTGTCCTCTACTCCTTCTGGTGTGATACATACCCTGCTCAGTCCATCTGCCATGTTTCGAAGCCCCACAATCCGCTCGACCTTATAGTCGAATTGCCATATGAAGCCTATCCATCTGCCAACGGTCGGGTCTATAGGCTTGTAGTTCTTTAGGGCCCCGACGACGTTGGTAGGATTGATCCTTAGGATAAATCGCCTTCCGAATATGTATGCTTGGAAGGTCTTAAGACAATGCAGAATCGCTAAGACCTCCTTCTTGAACTGTGAGTATCGCCGTTCTACCGAATTCAGGGTCCTACTTTCAAATCTGATTGGCCTTTCCTTGCCCTCCTTGCTTCTCTGTATCAGTACTCCTCCAACTGTCAGCGGTCCCCCGTCTGTTTCTAAGATGAAAGGCCGTCCTACCTCGTCATTGAAACAGGGTGCTGCTAGAGTGACCTGATCGGATGACAGGATGTCTTTCAGGGTCTGGGCTGCCGCTTCCCTATCCTCGGTCCAGTCCATAGTGCCGCCTTCCCTAATCATTGCGCGGATAGGCTCTGCTATCTTTGCGAATCCTTTGATGAAGATCCTCCAGAACCCAACCACCCCTAGGAAGGCTCGTACTTCCGCCGTGGTGCGCAGGGGTGTCGACCACTGGGAGATCTTATCCGTCTTTGCTGGGTCGGGTCTCCTCCCATACGCTCCACAGCGAAATCGCAGTATGGTTACTTCCGGGACGGCCAGGATGCTCTTGGGACCGCTTGCAGTAATATTGTAAACAAGGAAGCGCTGGAGTAGGTCCTTAATATCTTTCAGGTGGTCCCAAACAAACTTTCGTACGCCCGGCTCAACCTCCGTCTCGTCCTTGTACCTTGCGCCTTTTACGGGATTATCATCTATATACGGTTCACACTTTTCCGGAAACATATCCCCTACGACGGCGAGCATCCTTCTCTGCGCCTCTGCTACCGCATTTGTAAAGCCCATAGGGGTCACTTGTATCTGCATCTGCCCTACGGGGGGTGCATTGTGGTGTACGGTCTATCTCTCGCATCGAGCGGCAACTGATCATATCCTGAGTACAAGTCTACCAGGGAGTAAATACTCCGCCCCGCATGAGATTCTGCCAACAAGTCGGTCTGTGGAAGCGAGCCTTTGTCCCTAATTGTTACCGCATTGAGCTTCTGCAAGTTCTGGATCCACCTGAGCGTCTTATTGGGCTTCCTGAACACGAACCACTTGTTCGCGTAGGGGGATGCGGTGGGTTCAGCAACGAAAGAATCTATCTAGCTCTAAGCAGGTCGGTGACCTCCGCCGCTATCCCAAACTCATAGGCGGGCCCTTTATCATTCCAACACTCATGCTGTACGGTGTGGATCTTGACTGGGGGAACTAGCTTTGCGTCCAATCGCCCTTTCTGATGATCATTGAAAACGAAAGCTAAATGAAACTCCTGGCATGTCTTTCTTATCAACTGAGTTTTTTGCGCTGTTAGAAACCCTTCCACTCCTATTTTCATGGTATCTGCTACCTCATCTGGTATGCGATGCCCTTCCGTTGCGCGTCTCTCCCTTATAACCCATAAGATCTCCTCCTCTTTCTCCATGGCCTCTTCCTTTGATGTTTCTACTAGGATCGAGACCGGCTTGGCCTTCTTTCCTACGGGTTTGTATTTTCGCACACTGCCTTCTGGGATCGTTCTCCTAAAAAATGAACGGTCGGGATTGGCCTTGCTATTTCCATGATACGGGGCTGAATGCTAACTATCTTCTTATTCAGGTAGTAGCCTTTTCGAACCTCATCCTCAAACTTGGCAAGCGTTGCCAGGTCCACCCCCACTTTGTGGTACCTGATTGCCTTAACAAGTTGCAACAGGTCTGGGATTTCGAGCGCTAGCTCGGGGGTCTTGTTACGGCCTTCCTTCGCTTGGGGCTTTGGGCAGGCTGGCCCCAAGTTCAATTTCCTGCTCCTTTTCCGCCACCATAACCCCCAGGGACTCGTCCCCAGGCCTTCTCTTCTTTACGGGCGGACCCATCTTGATCCATTCCTTTTACTAAAAGCCTCCTCGATTATAATTTCTACCCTTGCCCTCATGCCTTTCATTCGTGCGAATGCCCCCTTCCGCACATTTTCTTCGAATGTTGGAGACCAGGTTGCCAATTTGCCCTTCGGAGGGTCTCCTCCGGTCCCAAGAAGTCGGAGGAGTTCCCCGCGACCGGTCACTGGGTCCTCTATGTCTACCATGTATGTATCGTCGTGCAGATGCATTCCTATTATTTCCACATTGGCGCACCACGGTCCCCCGAGGATTACGTCGTGATCCATCTCTTCCATCACGGTCATCTGCTGAAAGGACCAGATGGATACCCGGATTTTCGCCCTGACTGCACATTTGGTGACATACCCTGTGAAAGGAATTTCGCCACCGGCTCCCGGTTACTCCCTGCTACTTCCTTGTTTATCGTGCACCCCGTTACCGTTGCAAAATCTCGTCGTATGAGGGTGATTTCTGCTTCGCCGTGCACTAACGCGTCAGTGTGGTGAGTTCCGATTTGAACTTTAAGTTTCCCAACTGGTAATGCATGAAAGCTAAGCTTTGTCCTGGGTGGCGCCCTCATAACTTCACCAGCTTCACGATCCGGTAGGCTTAGCCGGATGTCCGCAAAGGCTTCCTCCAAATCTCGCAGGCCCCTTGGAATGCTTGGAGACTCCTTGCGGTGCCTCGGCCTCTTCCGTGTCCTGCTCTTGCAGTTCCGGGGCCTCCTCTACCTCTACGCGCTTACGCGTTAGGAACTGCCTGAGTCCTTTAAGCAGCCTCGGGCTGGTTTGCAGCATGGTCTGAAAAGACACCGATACCATGGTACCCAGTAGCTTACTCAAGGTGCCATCCATTTCTGGCGAAGTCAGGATCAGAATTTGATACCTGAACCTCTTTTTTGCCGCCGTAGCGTTGTCTACCGGTTCGTCCTCCCTTGGCTTCCCATAGACCTTCTCTTGTTCCCCGACTTCGGTCTCTTGCTGGCCCGTGCTAGTCCCTGCGAGTTCTTCCATTACTGTATCTTGAATAAGCTTCTTTTCTGCGCCGGCCCGGCGAGTGGTAATATTTACCCTATCTTGGCCATTGCCTTCTATGATAAAATTGGCCTGTGGTCCTCGTCCCCTTGGCTGGTCCCAGACAATCTCGGCTATCGGCTCGGCTTCTACGACAGCTATCTCTAAGTTATTCAGGAGGATGACGGCTCGCCGCATCCCTCCTGGCGAGTTTCAACTGACACGCTCCCCCCTGGGTCCGAGGATCTCGCCTTTGAGGGACCTACTGCACCTCTGCCGCTCGATATCGTGATTGAGTCTCAGACAGGCCCGTACAAAATGCCCGATCATGGTGCAATACTTGCATTGTTCGTTGGCCGGGTCCCTCCTACCAAACCCCCGATTTGCTACAGCTGCCGGAACCACGGCCTCTTGGGGCGGGAGGGCGGGTCTGGACACTTGCTCCTGCATTACTAACAACGCATTTTCCATTCCGTCCATCTTGATGTCAACCCCGTGCACCCGTTCGTGCAGGCTCTCTATCCCCTTCTTGACCTTATCCCCCGTCTTCCCGGTCAGATCTATGACCTCCCCTTCCTTAAGCAGGGCTAGCGTCTCGATTACCACTGTCTTTTCCGCAAGGTCTGTTACGGTGCTGAAGTCCACATCTCTCGTGTATTCGAACTTACTGGTCTGCTGGTATGCTGACAAAATCTTTTTTTTTTTTTTTTCTCTCTCTCTCTCTCTCTCTCTCTCTCTCTCTCTCTCTCTCTGACAATTACAAGCATACCACAGAAGAGTCGTAAACACTTGGCAAAAGTCGATCAGAAAAGGAAGCTGAAATCTCAATGCTCCACGTGTCGAAATGCAGTCGAAATGCCGTCTTGGTTCCCACAGCATAAGTCAACAGCAGCGCAATCATCCAGAAACCTCTCCAACACCGAGGAAAACAAGCACAGCAGCAGTAGTATACTCACAAGGGTTCCATATCTAAGACCATGCGCGAATGCCCTGACCTGGTTGCAATTTCGATATAAGCGAGGGGGGGGAATAGAACGCCGTCCAAATCTCACCCATGCTTACCAACCTGGCAAGGAGGAGGGCCCACAGGCGGGATGCAACGGCGGTATTCAAGCGTGAAGGCGTCACCCTCCTCATGATGCTCCAAGCGCCAGTAGAGTTAAGAATTTTCGAGATCGGTGCAACAGAGAGAGAGAGAGAGAGAGAGAGAGAGAGAGAGAGAGAGAGAGAAAGATATTATTTTGGGCTTTGGCAGAGGCTATTCAAAGCGGTGGGCCTGATGCTACCTACCACATTAGGCCTGTTGCTTTTGATTACCTCTGCCTGAGTTGATCTCTTGCTTGGGCCCGATTAGTATTTGCGGTATGAAAGGATACACGATATTTGTGTCTGCAGAGAGAGAGAGAGAGAGAGAGAGAGAGAGAGAGAGAGAGGTGCAACGCATCGCAACGTTAGCTTGTACGCCGACAACTGGCTTTGGATGCCTCTGTAAGACTTATCTTCTTATTCTTCTTCTTCTTCTTCTTCTTTCAGTGGAAACTGGGAAATTTGTCTAATGTGCCTTAATCAACACCAAAGTCCTTAATCAACACCAGAGTAGACTCCGGGTAGGCTAGCGAAGCTGGGACAAGTAGGACAACTGAGGTCTCTAGATTACACAAGACTCTAGGTTCTATCGAGTGAGGGACAAAAAGTAGAAGCCCAACTTGGGTACTAGCTGGAACCTCACACTTGCACGCTGGAAATGAAGTACTACCACCCCGGTCCACCTGGTGTTTTTTTTTTTTTTTTTGTATTTGTTTTTCCAAATCGCTCGCGCGTGTGCTGTTCTCAGTAAAAATGAGTTCCACACATTCAGAATCTAAGGCATATTTCTCAACCTTTTCACGAAAAAAAAAAAAAAAAAAAAAAAAAAAAAAAAAAAAGGCATATCAAAAAATAAAAAATAAAAAATCCATGGCATGAAAATGCCATGAATTACCACAAAGCCTGGAGGGAACAGGATAGAGGCCTTGCAAACGGGCCTTAAAAAAAAAAAAAAAAAAAAAAAAAAGATCCCACTACCAATATGTGACTGTCAGGCATCCTTGATTTGGCAGGAAATCGCGGTGTCCCAAACATGCGTGAAATCACAGCCAAGTTTTTTGGTTCGTGAAATCACACACGTTTCACTCACGGCAAGGCACAGATGAATGGCTTCATCGCTGGAAATTGATTGTGGTTTGCGAGGTGTTTGAGAGAGTTTGATCTCCTCACCTACTGCAAATGGTGTATGGAGTAATTCTTGGCCTCCTTTGCCAAAGATAATTTCTGTCTGAACAACCGAACAGCGTGCACTGTGGCCTGGAGGGAGATCCCACTAGCCATGTATGTGGATTAGTGTGACGGGCGTGGGATGGGTGGGGGACAGGTGGGTGGCAGCATGAAATAGTGAAAATAAACACAAAAAAACGTTTCATGACCAAACAAATGAAGAAAAAACTGCTAAAAAGAAAAGAAAGTGGTCTTCTCACAGATGATGTCTGCTCCATGCGGGGTGTCAGATGTCAGGGTATGATTCACTGACCATGGCTGTGGCAGTCAAGACGACTGCATGTGAGTAGGCAGACAGACCATATTCATTGACAATAGTCTGAGGCTTCCTTGAAATAGGTTGCAGTGCACGCTGTTGGGTTGTTCTGACAGATATTCTCTTTGGCAAAGGAGGGCAAGGATAACTCCATACAACAATTGCTCTAGGTGAGGGGATAGAACCCTCCCAAACACCTCCCAAACCACAATCAATTTCCACTTTTTTTTTTTTTTTTTTTTTTTAATGGGAACAAGGCTCCAATCTATTCGTGGGGAGCAACACGTGATGGGAATCGGGCCCAGCGTCCCATATGAAAATTTACATAGACTTTGAAAGTTGAGATCCGGGGCCATTACCCGGCTTGGCTAAAAAAAAATTGGGGCTACTTAAGAAATTACTACGACAGACTTCGGAATTAGACAAAATTCACAAAGCGACTCAGAAACCCCCCATCCATCCTCTCGACCTCACTCCGGCAAGACTTACTGCAGCAAAGCCACCATCTCTGTAGCGGACCCACCAGGTGTGGTGCTCGATTAGTGATAGAGATGGAGATGGAGGAAGAAGGGGGGAGCGAGATGGCACAACGCAGCTCCCCACGCAAGACTCCAGCGCACGTACTCCAAAATGTGCAAGTGAAGAATGAGGACGAAACAGACAATTGTTGGGGTATACCCTAGCAAACGGACTGGACTGGACTGAACTGGACTGGCTGGTACCGACAGAGGTACCGGCCTGGACTGGAATGGACTGGACTGCCCCCCAATAGAACACAGGCCTGTGAGAACAGGCCAAGGGGCTGGTCTCACAGGCCAACCAGAGGTCCGCTACACGATCCTCGGCCTGTGATGGATCGCCTAGATGCAAACACGCTTCCGCCAAGAAGCGGCACTCTACCAAAGAAAAAGAAAACCCGAGTCGTCTAGGATGCGGAGCAAGCTCCATGCTGAGTCCATGCGATGCAACCTAGGATAGAAAATGTCACAAAACAGCAATGTCACAGCTAACAACCTAAGTGAAAGCAAAAGCAACTAACTAGCATACATGTCCTAGGAAAGCAGAAAGTAGTGACAACTAGATCCTAGCATGTTGGAGGCAGTAGCCTCAGTCTGGGAACAACTGACTAGTGTATAAGTCCTAAGAACAGCAAAAGCATAACAACTGACTAGTGCATAAGTCCTAAGAACAGCAAAAGCAGAACAACTAAATCCTAGAAATGTCAGAGGCAGTAGCCTCAGTCTGAGAGCAACAAAGCAACAACAAGTCAACCATATGTCACAGAAGAAGTGTGTCGCAAACCAAAGGGTGGGATGGTCTCTGAGGGTGGTGAATGCAGCCTAGGGGTCGAAAACTCGTAAGGGCATCCACAAATAGTGACAGGGGAAAACACACGTCATCAGGCTCAATGAGGGTAGGGAACTGGGAGCAAACTGAACCAATGACCCTAACAGATAGACCATCAGGGTGGGTAATGCTCCACTAAGGGGTGACCGCTATGGAGGGTCGACGATGCAAGGGAACAAGGGAGCCTGGTATACTGGGCGCACCTAGATGAAGCATGTGGGGCTGCCTAACTAGGGCGTGAGGGCCGGCGAAGGGTAGAAAGATGATGGGTAAGGGAATCATGCAAATGACTCCTAAAGTGAGGGAAGTCGGAGCTAGATCCATAAGATGGGAAGCCAGGGCAACGCTACAGTCCCGATGCGTATGCGTATACCAAGGAAAAACCCAACTTGGAGGAACCCGGCTAAAGGGAGACCATCATGCGACACAGACAGGGTACTGTACAGGGTAAAGTAGTAAGAGAGTGGCGACGTATGAAGTAGGCAGAGCTGATCGTGGCGAAGTCCATGAAGTTGCCAATGACGTCCACGATGAGAAGTCCGGAATGCCGTCGAGGAAGAGCCGCAACGTCGACGAGCTGAAGTAGCAAAACTGGAGTGGATGGAGTACTAAGAAGATAAAAACGTGGGAAGGTAAGTCAGAGTCAATCGTCGTATCGAGCAGGACGACGACGAGTGCGCTGTGGACGCTCAGAAGCATCCGGCTGCTGCTGAAGGTCTGCCTCAGATGGAGCACGCTCGACTTTAGCGGTCTCCTCAGTCGGGGGGGAAGGAGGAGGGTCAGTGGGCTGAGGAGGGGCAGTGAACCCAGCACGACAAACACGGTCATAGGCACGCACCAACATGCGAGCGTGCTGCAAGTGCTCGAGGGGCTCCCAGGTAGCCTCCTCATCAGGGTAACCCTTCCAACGTACGAGATACTCGACGTGGGGAGGGTTGTCGTCGGTGACTCGGCGGCCAATGATGTCTGGAACGAGAAATTCCTCGTGGTCATCCACCATGATGGGTGGAGGGCGCTCGTATGGTCGTCAAACGAAACGCTCAGACGGTCTGCGGTAAGGACGCAGTAACGAGACGTGGTAGACATCGTGCACACGAGTCTGTCGTAGATAGTTGGGCAGCTTCACACGGAAGCTGACCGGGTTAGAAGCCGTATCAGAACCGACGGCCTGGAGGATGCAGCATGGGCCAAAGAAGCGACGCCGAAACTTGCGAAGCATGTCCACTTCGAGCTGTAAGTGGCGGGCGTCGATAAGCATATAATCACCGACTTTGAATGGATGATCCATTCTCGATCGGTTCGCACGTGCTGCCATGCGAGTCTGGGAAGCGGCTATGTGCTCATGTGCGGTCTTCATGATCGACGTCATGTGTGCAACACAATCATCTACCGCGGGACAACTCGTATCGGGGTGCAGCTGGGACGGTCGAAGGAAGTCCGCGGGAACACAAGGGTGATAGTCGAGGTCGCAATAGTAAGGCGACATCCCCGTGGCTGGCGAGATGGCATGGTTGTAGGCTATCTCCGCGTGGGCAAGATGGAGATCCCATTGTTGGTCGTCACGAACAATGTTTCGGAGAATATCTCTGAGAGTCCTGTTCGTGATCTCGGTCTGACCATCAGTCTGAGGATGGTAAGACGAGGAGAAGCGGAGCTGAGTGCCGTACACCTCGTGGAGCCGTCGCCAGAATCGGCTGGTAAAGCGCGGGTCACAGTCAGATATGATGCTCAGAGGTAAGCCGCGGTCACGCACGACTCGGTCAAACACGATGTCGGCGACCTCACGTGCACTGATGGCATAGCGGCACGGAATAAAGCGTGCACGCTTCGTGAAGCGGTCGACGACGACCAAGATAGCATCATGACCGCGAGGGGATGGAGGACGAAGGGGGCCGATAAAGTCCATCGAGATGGACGACCAACGACCCTCAGGGATAGGAAGAGGCTGGAGCAAACCATAAGGCAAGTGGTTCGCACTGTTTACCTCCTGACAGGTGGGACACTCGGCGACGTAGTCCTTTACAAAGTCCTTGCGCTTCGGCCAGACGTACAGGCGGCTCACACGAGCCAACGCCTTGTGGAAGCCCATATGACCGGCGGCTGCCTGGTCATGGAACTCTGCTACTGCGTGGACATGTAGCTGTCCAGTGGAGGGAACGCAAACACAGGGCTCACTGGTGCCCTATGAACCGTGCCAGTACACGAGACCGTTGTAGTTCGGGACGGTCTTGCCACTCCAAAGGGTCGCGTGTATGTCGCGATAGTCAGGGCAGTGACGGTACTGAGTGTGAAACTCGTCGATCACCGAGTGGTGGACAGTGGTGACCGAGATGGAAGAGAGTTGGATCTGCTCCTGGTCGTGGTCAGGGCGCCGGGATAGGGCATCTGCGACCCGATTAGTCTCACCCTTGATGTGCTCAGTGGTGAAACTAAACTCGGATAGGTCGCGCCACCAGCGAGCCTGTCAAGGAGTGAGCTTCGGTTTTGTCAGAAAAGCCTGGATAACAGAGTTGTTCGTGCGCACGTGCGCACCATGAACGGTGGCCCGTGCAGGTAGTGACGCCAGTGCCGAGCGGCATAAACTACTGCGAGAATCTCACGTTCATCAGCAGTGTAGTTTATCTCGGCGGGCAGGAACTGACGGGAGTAGAAGGCTATCGGACAATCACCTGAGCAATACTCGACAGTGCCGTCCTCGACGATGGTAGGAGAATAGTCAATAGAAGGCTCGTCAGTAGCGGGACGAGTAGGCGTCAGACGGCAGGCAGTGGGAGGGGTAGGTGATGAGAAGCGAGGGATACGAGGATGAGAGGAATCAGGAGAGGAGGGGAAGACCTGAGAAAGCACTGCTCCTACAGCAAAGTTTGACGCATCGGTGGTAAGGATAAACGGGAGGTCAGAATCGGGTAGGTGAAGAACCGGTGCGCATGTCACCGCCTTCTTGAGGGCGCGGAAGGCGTCCTTGTGGAGGGGTGTCCAAGCCCAGGGTGGGTTCTTCCGGAGGAGGGTGGAGGTAAGGACGTAGGAATACCTAGCGTATCCCCGGATGAAATTACTTAGTAGCTGGTCAGGCCTAGGAAGCTGCGAAGCTGCTTGGCGGATGTGGGCCGGGCCACTCCGCAATAGCAGTGATCTTCGCGTCGGCCATGTGGAGACCCTGGTCAGACACGTAGTGTCCTAACAAATCCACTTTGTGCTGGGCAAAGCAGCACTTGCTCAGCTTGGCGTAGAAGCCATGTCTGCGCAAGCGATCAAGGACGTCGCGGAGGTGTCTGAGGTGCTCCTCAAGGGTACGACTATAGACCAGGATATCGTCGAGGTAGACGAGAACGTACTGCTCCAGGATGTCCCTGAAGATGTCGTTCATCGCCCTCTGGAAGGTAGCGRGTGCGTTGGTGAGGCCGAATGGCATCACCGTGAACTCGTAGTGGCCAAATCGTGATCGGAACGCGGTCTTCGGGTGGTCGGTTGCAGCGACGCGGATCTGATGGTAACCGCTACGAAGATCAATCTTCGTAAAGAAGTGGTTGCCTGCTAGGCGGTCGGACAGCTCATCGGAACGAGGCATGGGGTAGTTGTTCTTAACCGTGGTAGTCGATGCAGAGACGAAGAGTTCCATCCGCTTTGCGAGCAAAGAGGACGGGTGCACCCCACGCGGAGTTCCTGTGTTTAATGAAACCCAGTCCCAGGAGCTCCTCAAGCTGACGCTTGAGTTCGGTGGCCTCGGGGATCGAGAGTCTGTAGGGTGCCTGGTGGTGAACACGATAGTCAGGCACAAGCTGAATGAAGTGCTTGTCGTCACGCATCGATGGGATGCCGGCGTAAGAGAACGGCGATGGGAAAACGTCGTGGTACTCTCAGATGAGGTCACAAACTGTGGGGTCCAGGTCAACCGTATATCGTGCGAGTTCCTGAGCGTCATCGTCAGCGCGCGACAGCGGAGTGGACTCGACGGATGATGGAGGGACGGAAGTAGAGATGGGAGCCATGGAGATAGAAGGAGGATCTGGCTCTAGAGGGATTAGCTCGGCGTCGGGACAGGGTGGATCATAGTGTAAGAGATCTGTCGGATGAAGTGGGCGAACTGCCGAGGCGAGGTGACAGTGATGGAAGGAGATGGTGTGGGCACGGAACGCTCGGGGGGAGGAGGATCGGGGCGCGGTGTCGCAGTGGTACCTATGAAAGGTACGCAATACGTCTGTCCACCCTTCGTTTTGAGAACGAGAGTGTTGGTCGCCCAATCGGCCTCGGTGTTGCGGAACCGACGAGACCACGGAGTGTCGAGAATGAAGTCGTACCCCGTCTCCATCACATCGAAATGTGCAGAGGAGCGGTGGCGACGAGACGCCGGGGAAGGATTAGTCGGCTCGAGAGTGAGGAAGAAAGGGAGGTCGTCAATTGTGGTTGTGACCATTAGTAGAGGACAATTAAATAGAGTGACTGAAGCAACAACCTCTTCTTTTTCTGACTACAGATAGCTTCACTGACTGAAGAGACTAGACACCTCTTCTGGGAGCTATTACTACAGTTGGCAAAGGAGGATGATCTAGAAATAGAACTAGAGTCTCTGTTTCTTAACTCGAACCTCAGTTTGAAGTTCGAGACGGAGCATTTTCTGAATTCTCCTCGCCTTACAATGAAAGAGAACTTGTTATGGCTGAAGGGCATTAGTTTCCTAGGAAGCAGGCATACTTGGAAGAAGGCTGAAGGAAAAGAATTGCCAGACATTAATTCTTCGGTTATCTCACGCCTACTCCGGGATTTAAAGCCTCTCACGGTAGGAGGGGCGTTTCCTTATGAGATTGAGAGATATACTGTCTTGGCCATACCTGAAGCGGAGGAAAAAGTGTATGTGTTAGTAATTCGCTTCCTAGAGACCGACGAGTACGACGTGCGAATATACACTCCAGTGACTAGGAAGATCTGGCGGCGGTATACTGGGTGTCACGAGTGGGCACTCAGTCACGTCTGCAAATACAGGAACGAACTCAAGAAGGAAGGTAAGAAAGTTACCTGGAGTGTGAAGCCTATTGAGTACGAAAATTTTCCAAGTCCTCTCATTCCGAATAGCTTCGTCAACGGTGAGGACTGGGAGCCTATTCTTAATGTTGTTTTGAGAGATAGGAAGTGGAGCAGTGTCAACATTGACGATTCAGGTCGGAAGACTTAGTAGGCACTGGATGGGATTAGACGGATTGAAGATAAAGATGGATCATGGGGGTCGCTAGGGGCCAAGCAATGTCTGGATACTGCCCGAGGATCACGGCGACACTAGACCCCTTACTTCCTTTTACCTGTGGAGGAGTTTTTTCCTACAAGATAGAGCGCTGCATATCCCTGGAGGAGAAGCACGCACCTGGGAAGGCGTATGTCCTTGTAGTGAAGTTCCTTGACACTGGTGAATACGATATCCGGCCATATGTTCCCTCATTGAGAGAGAAAGGGACAGATCGTGAGTCTCTTCGAAGTTGGATTAATAATATAGTTACCCAAGAGAAGAAGGAATTAGAAAGAAAAGGGATAAGAGTAGTTACTAACTTAACACCGATTGTGTTTGATAGGTTTCCAGAGCCCCATGTGCCAGAAAGTTTTACTGACGGCAGGAACTGGGAACCAATTTTAAACGCAATCCTAAGAGAGAAAAGGCTCAGGAAGAAGTAGGAGTATAATTAGTAAACTAGACAGAATGGTCAAAGGACCGAACGTACGGCAGAGCCGTGCTAGCTCCTCTGCTGGGGATGGAGAAGTGACCACTACCGTTGTTCTTCGAGAGATGTTGAACCGAATAGAGACCATGAAGATAGGGATGGACAATATGAATGTCCGTCTAGACCATCCAAGAGCTAAGGTACCTCCAGAGAACATACCCTGCTTTGATGGAACCAAGGTCAGTGAATTCCTGGAAAACTATGATGTCTTCGGTATGAGCCATGGTTGGTCGGATAAACAGAAATTGAAAGCTCTGCTAGCGTATATCGAACCTAAGATGAGAGTGTCGGTAACAAAAACGACACAAGGGCTGACAATATGGGTTGAGGTTAGACAAAAGATGCTGGAGGAATACGCGAAGTACGACGTCTCAACGACCATGCAAAATCTGTTGGAAGTGCGATGTTCTAAGTATGCAACCCTTGACCAATTTCTAGAAGATTTTGAGCGGGTTGCGCAGAGAGTACCCTTCCTAGACGAGGCTAAAAAATGCCATGTCCTACTGACTAACTTCGCAGAGGATGAAAGAAAGGGTGTGGTAAGCCGCTATGCCCATTACCCTCTGAAATGGGATGAAGTGGTTGAGATGGTCCGAGAGCTACCTTCGGTGTCAAACCGGAAATGATCTCTCGAACAGATGAAAACAATCACTAGTGCAAGAGAAGGGAATGTTGAGGCAGCTACGGGAGGAAACTTGAAGGCCGAGAAGATTCTTGGTTTTCTTGTTAAGCTTGGTAGCTTCGAGAAGTTAACCCTTCCTGCCCCGGCAACTCAAACACTTGTTGGAGCCGAAAAAGGTAAGGAAGAAAGAAAGAAGGAGAAGCAAAAGGAAGAGAGTGAGAGTGAGAGCGAAAGTAGTGACGACGATGACACTAGGCAAAGAAGAAAGGAAAGAAGGAAGAAATGGAAAAAGAAGCGTGATCGGGATTGGAAGAGAGATAACAAGAGTCGAGATTGACAAAGGAGAGATGACCATTTCCGATGTTATTTTTGTGACGAGGAAGGCCATACTCTAACCCGGTGTCCGACGATAGAAAAGGAGCTCGAAGAAGGGATTGTGAAGAAAAATGTCAATGGGCACATCTGTGATGTCAATTGGAACAAGGTAGACTTCCGAGTCAAAGGAGGAATGCGAGCAGTTATCCTAGAAAAGGCTAAGGCCAATAAGGATAAAAAGAAGAAGGCTAAGGTTAATGTTGTCACCTTTGACGGTATGCTACCTCCGGAGATAGTGACTCGAAACGACAATCCTGGAAGCCAAAACCTGAATGTATCCCATATCAGCCATAGAGAGGTTGAGGAGAAAAAGCGGGAGAAGGCTCAAAGAGAGCTAGACCAATTGATTGATGGGACCAAGGAAGAAAAGGAAGCTGCAGGGAAAAAGAGGAAGGTGGTCTCGAGATCTGAGGCCGAGGAGGGTGTCTCGATAGATGAAGTAGTAAAGAAACTACTTGAGGAAACCGAGATCACTCTATCATGGAAAGAGGCAGTAGCCTTGGTGCCAAAATTTAGAGAAGAACTTAAAAAGATGGTTGAAAGGCGGAAGGTAGAAATCAATAGCCTAAGACTTTTCCCTCAGCATGTGGAAAGAGCCCCGCCTTGGACCAAGATGAGGCTTGGCAATATGTGAAATGGATACTTGAATATCTCCGTAAACGACGTGAAGGTTATAGCCCTAGTGGACTCTGGGGCCGAGATGGTGCTTATGTCCTCGGCCACGATGAGATCATGTGGGCTTGGAATAGACAGGAAAGTCAATCACCAACTCTCCAATATAGCCGGATTTCTGCCATTGGAAGGATTCATTGATGATTTGCCTATTCGAATTGGAACTTTACGGGCCGAGATCCTCTGTTTCGTGGTCCCCAACTTGGATCATGACTGCATTCTCGGAGCCCCTTTCCTACATAGAATAGAGGTTTGTGCGTTCTTTGGTCATGATGGGGCGGCTTGGCTTTCGCTCAAGGATCCTAACAATGGTCAAGAACAGACTTTTGTGATAAGTGACAGGCATCATCCTCGTCATCAGCGACATTTTAATTCTCTTAAGCATGGAGAATCTGACAAGTTGATTGAGGAAGTACGAGCAAAGCTGAAAGAAAGTGGGATAGTAGACGAGAAGACAACGATCAGAGTAAATGATATTTGTAAGATGCTCAAACTCCTAGATAAAGAGAAGGAGCTGGGCGATAAGAGAGAGATGGAAGGATTCAAGGAAGTTGTGAGGGCGGAAAAAGTTGGCACAATGCAGCTCATCTTCTCTGCAACTGGTGTTTTTTTACAAAAATAGTTACCGGGCCCAAGAGGAAGTATAAGTGCAATGGCGTTAAGAAGAATCCAATGGCAGTCTTGATAGAGAAGGACTATAATGAAGCACTAGAGAAGGAAAGAAAAATAATTAAAGGGTTAAGAGAGGCTGCATTAAAAGGAGGAAGGATTACCCCAGAGAGGTTCAAGATAATGAAGGTAGGAGCCGATGACTTCCTCCTGCCGGCTGAGAGGGATCATATATGAATTATGTCAGAAGTACAGTGGTGCCTTTTCCTTTAATGATGAGGAGAGGGGACAACTGGACGTTGACATGATCAAAATGATCAAGACAGACCCAGGAAATATGCTCAAAAGGAAGAAATGGAGGTAATGAAATACATAAACTAGAAGATCGCTTCTAACGTTGCGGAACCAGCGGATGGTGCTTATGCCAATCACTGGTTTTGTTTTTGGAAGCCAGGAGGAGATATGCGCTGGATACAAAACTTGCAAAAGTTGAATTCGGTAACGGATCGCGATACGGGTAGCTTACCCAACGTGGATCTGTTGGTCGAGTCTTTCGCAGGAAGGAGCATTTACTCCCTAGTGGACTTATATTCTGGCTATGACCAATTCCCCATAGATCCTACTAGTCGACCTATGACTGCCATGCACACACCTAGAGGCCTCATACAAATGTGTGTGGTGTCTCAAGGGTGGACGAATGGGGTCGCAGTTGTCCAACGAGATATGTTGAAGGTCATGGAGGACATATGTCCAGAGGTTACGTTCCCATACATTGATGACAACCCGGTCAAAGGACCAAAGGAAAATGATGAGACCTTAGTGGATGGACGAGTTCGGCGTTTTGTGTGGGAACATGTGCAAGGAGTAGCGAAAGTACTAGAAAGGTTTTTTAAGTACAATCTAACAGCCAGTGGACCGAAATCACTACTGTTCCAAAGAGAGGTAACGATCTTGGGTTTCAGGTGCTTCTTGGAAGGGAGAAGCCCCGATCATAAGAAGGTGAATAAAATCCTGAACTGCCTAT